CCCGGAGCCATCCCCTCCCCCTCTCCCTCCCGCTCCTCCTTCCGCTCCCCCTCCTACCCCTCCCCCTGTTCCTCCTGTCCCTCCTCCTCCTGCCGCCCCTCCTCCCGCTCCTCCTCTCCCTGCCGCTGCTCCTGCCGACCCTCCCCCTGCTGCCCCACCCGCTGTGCCGCCCGGCTGTGTCACGTTGATGGTGGCGCTGGTGTTGCCGGCAAAGGGGTTAAGTCCAATGGAGCTCAGAACGCCAGTCACAATCTGCGGGGAGAAGAAGGGGGGAAAGGAGAGAAAGGGAAGGTTTTGAAGCGGCTTACAAGTGGTGTTGCTGGCGGAGGAGTCCATTCAGGCAGATGGGGTTGCGACCCCATTGGGTTGGGGCTCAGCACTGCATCACAATATGTGCAGTGAGGGCGCGGGGGGGAGGAGGTGAACAATTCTTGAGGCGCAAAAAGATCGTCCGAGGGAAGTCATGCCACGCAGACACGAATGTGTACGCGTGGGTGCACAGTGCAGCACAGCGCCCATGTGCGCATTCATGTGCCGCTACGCGTATTCACTCATGTAAAACCACCAGTAAAAGTGTCCGATTGTGGATGAATGTGCACATACACATGTGCACAGAGCAAACCGATGACAAGTGTGCACTGCACCCAGCCATATAAGACCAGCGCTCGCTACCAGTGCTGGTGGAGCAGTGCTTCGCTCACCTGGTTAAGGTCTGGCATCATTGGGGAGCCGTCCGTGTGGATGTTAACTGAGCCCATGTGGAGAGTCGCTGCACCGGGCATGCCGTCTGCTCGTACACACACGCCCAGAACAAGTTAACAACATGGGATGGTGAGAGCGGCACGGCATGGCACCCGGTGCAGTGCGTTGAACGATGCTAACAGGTCGAATACGTGCAGATTAAGAAGGTGGATGTGCGGATGAACCAGCATGTGCATGCAGCGGAGAGGAGGTGCGTGTGTGAGGGAGGAAAGACATGCCAAAGTATTACGTACTGCAAGATACAGGATAAAGCATACACTCGCTCACCTATCTGCATGTGAGTAAGTGGCTGGCCAGAACCGCCCCCAGGCCCACCTCCCCCCGCCCCCTCGCCTGCCCTTGTCCGCCCCGTCCCTCCCTCCCCTCCACCACCCCCCCCCTCCCCCTCGGCTCGCCCCAGCCGCGACACCAGATGCACCGCGTGCCCGGCCTCTAGCCCTGCAGGCACACACAAGCACAGGTGATCGGCAGGTAGCCAATCAGATCTGCAAATCACAGCAGAGCAGTGATTCTAATTTAAGCCACTCAAATTCACCACCCTCGCCTCGCTTGACCCAGGCGCAACAGCAGATGCATGCATCATGTGGCCTCTCGCCCTCAAGGTCAGTCGGGGGTACGTGACACATGTGCAGCAAGAAAGGCAGCAAGGAGGCAGCTTTTGAGTCGACTCAAAAGTCACCTCGGGGGTACATGACACACGTGCAGCAAGGCGGGCAGCGGACGCGGTGACATGCCATGCCTGTTTCACACAAACTCAAACGCCACGCCCAATTCGACTTTAAGCCGATTCGAGTGGCGTGCTGCTGTGCCACACCAAGTTGTCGACCAACCAACCAACCAACCAACCGCGCATGGATCACAGCAGTAACGCACCTGCCTACCGTAGCACGCGGCCTACCGTAGCCTACCGTAGCAGTGGGGGGGAAGGGGGTCGGGGGGAAGGAGAGAGTGATGGCGCCTACAGTAGCGGCGGCGGGGGGGGAGGGGGGCGGGGGGAAAGGGGAGTGTTGACGCCTACCGTAGCGGCGGGCGGAAAGGGGGAATGATGGCACCTACCGTAGCGGCGGGGGTAAAAGGGGGAGACATGGCGCGTACCGTAGGACGCGGGGGGAAGGGGGAGTGATGGCGCGGCCTACCGTACGACGCAGAGGGAAGGGGGGAGTGGTGGCGCGTACCGTAGCGGCGGGGGGGAGGGGGGAGAGATGGCGCGTACCGTAGCGGCGGGGGGAAGGGGGGAGTGATGGCGCGGCGTACCGTAGGAGGCGACGGTGCTGTCGTCTTTGAGCACCTTCCCGCGGAACACCAGCCGCTGCCTGCCCGCTGGCACGCCCAGCAGCGGTGCAATGCGGTCCTTGAGGGTGGAGACGAGCATCTGCTCGGTGAGACGTTGGAAGGGGAGGCAGGAGGAGGTAAGAACACGGTTGGATATTGAGCGCCTTTCTCGAGAAGCACTTGTCGCAAGCAACGTTCAGCAGCGGTGCACTGACGCCCTTTAGGGTGGACTCGACACGAGAATCTGGGTGGGGGAACAGAGACAGACGACGGCGAACTGCCCAAACGGGCCTGGGAACGTGAAAAACATAAGCTAGGTGAAAATCCCTAACATCGGGAGAATAAAAGCGCGGTGAACGATCCCACCTCGGGATGCACGGCGACATCGAAGGTGCGGTTATCGAGCGTCTTTATCTTAATCTCGAACGAGGATCCATCGTCGCCGCCGCCTGCCGCCATGACTGCAAGACAGCTATCGGTTGAAAACAGAGTAATATCGCAGTTTGTCAGCTCAACAACAGTCTATGGTGGAAATCGGCGGAGGTAGAAGTTGAAGAGAATTCGAGAAGCAACTCAGGGCGTGTGACTTTTGGTTCGCGATTGTGAGTTAGAGTCGAATCGTGTGTGGTTACTGCGTTCGCATGCGTCGCAAGGACACGAGACGTACGTTTGGTTCATCTGTGAGAGCAAAGTTTCGAGTGTGACTACCCGTGATAGAATTTAGTGCCTTTGAGTGACGGCGGGTGATATCCGTGTGATGGTTTGTGATAGATTTGGCGGAACATGTGACCGTTCGTGATAGATTTGGCGGAACATGTGACTGCTCGTGATAACTCCGAAATGTTTTTGACGGCCCGTATAAAAACCCAAAAGAGATTGTGCGGTTTTCAGATTTGGCCGTCATGATCGGTTACCGTTCCGAGGATCACAAAATTCACGAGCAGTTGCAACCTTCCGCCCGTATTGCGGAAACCCCATTTACCATTGACGAAAGTTGTGTCACTACAAAAACAAATGAGCCGTGGCCCCGCGTATGCCCAGGGACTCATTTTTTCTCACAAATCTGAAGCGTGTCGTCCGAGTTGTCTAGTTTTCGAAATTTGTGTCATTGCCCCAAACGAACTAGAATGACCCGCCCTGACCCGCAAAAACCATTTATTAGGGCTGTCCCTTTTATTATTCAAAAATCTAAAATTTCAGGTTACCTGTTCTCGCTAAAGTCGCCAAAGACTTCACGGGCACTCACTTTTATATGGGGAAGATATCGGCGAGATCCCTCCCGAAACCCCCCTTTGCCCCTGCGGGTTTTCCCTGGAGAGATTTCCGTTTTCCCGCAGTCGCCTAGCGGCGCACGCGAGGGGCGGGAGCCGACCACCCCCTCCCGCCCGAAAACGGGGACCCCCAGCTGGCGCCAGCTGCTGATGACGCCAGCGACACCCGCCCTCGAGCTGGCAGTGGTCCCCCCCAACCGAACCCAACCCCACCCTCGGTTCGATGACAGGTTCCGTCCGGTAACCCACCGAACCCTCGCCGGGCGTCGCCTCGCCGTCGGAACCCGTCCGCGAATTTTCGCGAGCGGACGGAAGCGACGCCTATCTACGCCGCGCTGCACCGCTCTCGCCCTCGACGGGCCCGTTTCGTTTGGCGCTCGACCCTGGTGACGTGTCGAACGCCCCCTCCCGCTCCTTGAAAGGGGCCTTTCCGCTGCATGCAAGGCGTCCCACCTCATGCAAGCACCAAATTTCACGTCGAGGCCAATAGGGCCCCGTCGCCCACTACGAAAAGCTCCTCCTCCCGCCGTCGCGGAACGCGCCCTGCTCGTCGCCCTTGCACCCGAGTCTGTCTCGGTGGGGGGGATGGCAACCAGCTAATACCCTGAGAGCGTTCTCATTTTGTTGCTGTTTTCTCCGACTTTTCCAACCCCTTTCCTACTCCCTAGTTCCCAACTTTCCTGCGCTACTGCTAGGCATGCCATGGCTACGGGCCCCGCCTCCCTACCCGTCTTGGACGAGCCGACGGTTCGACACAGCCTCATCCTAACCACAGGCGGGATCGAAGTGGAGGTGTTCGAGGACCAGGTGAACGAGCTTAGCGAGGCGCCGAGGACGGAGTTCGACGAGAGGATGCTCAACGCGGGCGTAGTGTACGTTTCCTGTCGAGCATTTCCGGTTTGAGCATTTTCGGTTTGCCATGTTTCCCTGTCGCTGACTGTGCACTAGCTTTCCGTGCAGCCTGTTTTCAAGGGAGTTGATGTCCGTCGAGCAGCTCGCCAAGCTGTCGATCGTGACTTCGACGCGTGCGCATGAAGAGATGGCGCGTCCCACACCGATCGCTTTTGCGAATGAGCACGTCGACGGCCTGCTCGGCAAGCAAGTGGTTCTCGTTCTGCTGCGGACCACGTGAGTTCGACACTCTCCCGTCGCCTTGCGTGCTCCGTGTTTAGCCCTAAACCCGTGCTCACGTGCATTCGCTCTGCATGCAGCCTGAGTGTGGCACCGTTCTCCCACTCGAGCCTGTTTGTGGTATCGCGCCCCGACGATCTGATGGCTCCGAGGCACCGTGGCTGTCGAACTTGAATGATGCACTTCGATTCGAAAGACAGGTTTCCCGCGGTGAACCACCAATCTTCGCTGGCGCATGAAGTTCTCGTGTGAGTGACCGATTTGCCACCCTGCTATCGACTTGCCGTTCTCGACAATCTTACTCTCCTGTCCGTCGCTTTGCAGTTGGATGAAGAAGCAGCTTCGCGCTGACTACACGATGACCCAGCGGGTTGTAACCGAGCACGAGCAGGGGGTGCTGGACGACATCGACCGGCGTCTGCACATGATCACTAGTTTCGATAAACCGGTAAGCCAACCCTAAACCTTGCCCGTGCATGTTTTCGTCGAGCTTGTTGTTCTGTCACTTACGTGTGTTTTATACCCGTCGCAGACGACGACGCCCCTGTCGAGCCCCAATGAACCCGGCGCGGGAGCTCGTGTCGTGCACGGAGTGCGAAGGATTCTGTCGAACTGGGACAATTTCATCCTGCAGCCTCGACAGGGCGAGCTCGTGAGTCTCGGGAGAATGAGCCCTGGCCCCCAGATGCTTCCGTCGTTCATGGTCAAGCTGTTTTGGAAAAAGATGGGCGAGGTGGCGGAGGGAGTAGGAGTAGGAGGGGGTGCCGAACACGAAGGAGGAGGCGAGGGGACGCCACGCGTCGTGGTTGAGTATGAATACGAGGAGGAGGAGGAGGAGATCGAGGAGGATACATCGACGCAAGCTCAGCACGGGGCGAGCGGCCCGGGCGGCGATGCGAACGAGCACGAGGGCTCGAGCTCGGAATCGAGCTCCGGCTCGAGCTCGAGCGATGAGTCGGTCGAGCACGACGGCGAGGGCGCAGGAGAACATCCAGGTGGGACGAAGGAGTACGGAGTGGCGCTCGGGTAGCGGGTGGACGAGCGGGTGATGCTTGTCGAGCAGCAGGCGACGGGGGACAATGCGGTTGTCGAGGAGCAGGAGGGCGAAGCGGGGGCTGTCGAGGAGCAGGAGGGCGGAGCGGCTGTGCACGAGGGTGGGGCAGGAGTGCAGCAGCAGGAGGGCAGGGCGGCTGTGCAGGAGGGTGGGACAGGAGGGCAGTAGCAGGAGGGCGTGACGGCTGCGCAGGGGGGCGGGGCAGGAGGGCAGGAGCAGGAGGGCGGGGAGGCTACGCAGGAGTGTCGTCGAGGAGATGAGCGACAGGTCGCCGTAACAAGGAGACACCGCACGGCCAGTGGCAGCGGACAGGCGGGCCCTTCGATGTCGGCCATTGCATCCGGAGGCCATCTCGTCGAGCTACTGGAGAGGCTCGCGGAGGTCGAGGCGTCGCAGAAGAAGCTCGTCGCCGACGTCTTTGCAAAGCACAGCGAACAAGCCGGTGTTTTCAACAAGCTTGTTGCGGATTTTCGGACGAGCTGGAATTTGTTTTCGGAGTCGTCGAAGAGCACGCTGAAGCAGTGCGCAGACGCTGTAAAGGGTGTCGCGGAGGAGAGGAAGCTGTTGGAAGAGGCGCGCACGAAGGTCGACGAGATGAGCGGGAAAATCATCGAAGGGGTGGCAGCCGCCATCACAAAAGCGAGCGAGGACGCCGTCGAGAAGCAGCTGAAGCATGTCGAGGAGCGGCTGGTTGAGAAAGCCGTGAAGGATGACTTGTTCTACTCGACCCTCCCGCCAGAGAGCATGAAGGAGTTGAAGGACATAGTGAAAAAAGGGTATGAAGAAGCTGAAGCTGGCAGGTTGGAAGTCCTCACCGAAGCAATGGCGAGAGGGTTTCGGGGCTCGGCGGGCCCGTCGACGAGGTCGCGTCAGGAGGAGGGGGTGGCTGGTGTTCGCAGCGGGGTTGAGCCTCGAGTTCATGAGCGCTCGGTTCCTCCTTCGTCGGTGGGAGGACATGTCGGCAGCCCGGTAGCATCCCCACCGTCGCTGCCCGTCGTCCCGTCGCCAAGTCCGTCGAGGACAACGAGGTCATCGTACTCGACCAGTCGCCCTATCCGAAGACCTCCGAAGCGGCACCGAAGCCTCCGCCTGATGCGTTTTCTCCGCTGCGGGACATGCTGCAGGGCCTCGGGAAAAAGGGTGGGAAAGGAGTGGTTGGGGGGGAGAAAAGTGGTGCCTTAATCGAGTCCGTCGCCTCAGTCGGGATAGGAGCCGTGGGAAAGCGAGGTGCCTCTACCCCGTCCGGCGGCGCTGCGGGGAAAGGAGCGGGGGAGACACGGGGTGCTCCCAGCCAGGTCGTCGTCGCTGTTGGGTTGCTGTCGAAGACAAAGGCCGACTCAGCTGCGCAGCTCGGTATTGTTGGCCCTCATGTCGAGCCTGTGGGAAAGAGGGTGTCGTCCTCTACCGCTCCCGTTGCTCCTGTCGCAGCTCCCGTCCTAGGCGACGTCCGCCTTAGCGAACCGGCGTCCCCTCCTCCTGGTCCACGAGACTCCCCTTCTGCGTCGAAGAAAAGGCAGGCGGTGAGGAAGTCGTCGAAGCGCAACAGGGGCGACAAAGAGCAGTGACGTGGTGGAGCTGGTCAGCCTCGTTGGCCAAGCTCATGTCGAGACGGCGTCTACCATCGTTGCTGGTCGACAGGAGAAGGCGAAAAAAGCCAGGGTGCTCCGCTACGCCGCACCTCCTCCGCCGGACGCCGAGGGCAAGGTGAGGGGCGCCATAGCTCCTTTCAAAGGCCCGGCCATGTGGATTAGGAGTGGGAAGCCCGTTTCGGAGCAGACTGTAGGCGGGAGGAAGCGGTTTCTCGGCACTTTTGAAACGGTGGAGGACCAGAAGTTCTGTACGGCCATCTGCTGGCGCGTTTACTTCCCCGACGTAAAACTGGACGAGTACGAGGGGTTCACGGCGGATGATGTGAAGGAATGGAAGCAGTATCTCAATGTCGCCGCTAGTTTGCCGACCGGAGTGTGGAGCGTGGCGCAAGAACAAGGGCAGTGTCGTTTAGACGAGTGAGTTCTGTCGAAGTCGTGTCGTTTTACTGTCGAGGTCGTGTCGTTTTACTGTCGAAGTCGTGTCGTTTTACTGTCGAACTCATTTCGTCTGACATACGCATATGTTTCGATGTGCAGTTTTCCGTCGCTGCTGGCGACGGCCAGGACGGAAGAGAGAGCAGGAACCAACTGGGGAATCGCTCTGTGCGCGGCTATTGGGAAGGTTGCGACGCTTGGCCACAAGCACGGGAACCTGATTTATCCAGTCCCGCAGAAAATGGGAGGGACGCCGCACATGATGGCCGTCGCAGCAGCTGTGGCATGCTTGTGGGCGGCCTGCAGGAAGGTGCCCAGGGAAGCTATTCAGGCAGAAGCCCTAGCTGCAGCAAACGCAGCCCTCTACGGCCCGGAGATGGCGAGCCTGGCTAGTACGGCGGCTGCCATGGCCGCGCTCGTGTCGATACTTTTGCACGTGGGCACGACGGTCCCGCCCAAGCAGTGGCCCGATCTGCTGTATTCGTCGGTTGTCGAAGGCCTCGGCTCCAGTAACTCCATCATGTTGCAGATGGTGCGCGTCGCAGCACAGGTCTGCACGCATTGGTGCTGCTGTCGATACGCAGCCCGCTTGCTGGAGGACGCGGGCTATGGGAGCCTCGCCATGCCGGAAGAAAAGAGCAAGGCGAAGCAGGGCGAGGCAGATGCTAGCGGGGCGGGGGCAAGCGGGACAGGGGAGTAGTGTAGCCGGGCGCTTTGCGTGGGGGTTGTTGCATGATTCGACATATGTGTTCGTAGTTTACGATATGGTCGATTCGACAGATGTTTGCTTTTCATTGTTTTCGACTTTAAACCTATTCGACATTGTTTTTTAATTGAGCTAAACTGGGTGAAATGGTCGAGATGGTCTCCCAAAACACTTTAGGGGAACATACAAGTCAACCCTACATGAAACACCTACACTAGGATCCCCCCGCGTCACGGTTGCCCGTCGAACTAGGCCGCGCGCCAGTTGTTTCCGTGAACTCATTCCATTTCTCCTTGCCGAACACCTTCTCCGCCCAGTCTGCGGTTCGGAGCTCGACGCGAATAAGCTCCAGAGTGATTCTGAGGCGGTGTTTGTCCTTCCGGTTTTCCTGTGCAGACTCGACTTTGCTCTTCTTCGTGAGCTGCCTCCCAGAATCCTCCTTGAGAATGATGCCCTCCGAAAGCATGTTGATCGAGTGGTCCTTCACAATTGAGTCCAGCTTTTCGATGATCGTCGACGTAGCCGCGCTGCTGTCGTCGATCCGGAAATGCTCGACGGCCTTCATGACAACCTCCATTTTCCGCAATTTCGTCTCGATAGCTTTTGCGTCCGCATGAATCGCAACGACCCATCTCCAAAGGCCCTCGAGCACGTGACGAGCTGGCCCTGTCCCTGGAGATCGAGGTCCACCACGGCCATGCCCACTATGGGCCCCAGATTCCCACTCCTCCACGTAGCTGCAGACATGCAACGAGGGGGAGGTAGCGCAGGGGGGAGGGGGTTAAGGCAAGACACACACCAGGTCCATGCGGCCATGTCCACTATGGGATTAGATTTTAGGCCAGATTCTGCAGGGTGTTTTTGAGAGTTCATAAAAACACCCGCCATATTCACACACTGCTCCAACTCCTCCACGTAGCTGCCCGTTGCTGCTACTAGGTGCTCAGAGAGAACTGCAGAAGAGCAAAGAGGGGTGGTTGGGACAGTGGGGAGGGAGAGAGGCGGAGCAGTGCCTCATCGAGGTATGGATCTATCGAGCGCTTGGTGTCATCGTTGAACGCAAGTTTTGCCCGTCTATCTCTCAATGTCACCCCATTCGTTTTTGTTCAGGCCCAGGAGTGGAACAACGAGCAGGACAAGGAACATATGTACTACGCAGCGAAGAGTTTCTTGGAAGCCCTGCCGCCCGGATGCCCATCGCAGAGGATCTTGCGATGCACTACGTCCATTGTGAGGACCACCCCTTCGACGAAGTGAGCGTTTGTGACTGCGAGCGTCACCCTTTAGCCCAGATGTCGAGTTTGTGCAAGGACGAAGATTTCAAAAAATGGGCGCTCGACGTGTACATGCTCGACAAGTACGGCATCGAGATGCGGACCAACCCCACGATGTCGAGAGCGACGGTAAGATGGTCCTTCCAAATCTTGAATCGACGACTTTGCGTCAGCCCACTTACCGCACCTGATCTTGTGTGCAGGACGTATCCTCTCAGCTCAACACCAAGCACCTGATCACGCAACTTCGGGGCGAGATCAACTTCCACAAGGAGGAGGGAGGGAAGGCCAAAATCAAGATTAACCACCTTGAGAAGCAGGTCGAGTCATTGGAGCGGGAGAAGGGCTCGATGCAGGCAGAGTTGGAGGCGAAGACAGAGGCGTTCGCGCAACTACATAAAGCGTTCAACGCATTGAAGAATATCGCGGCGACAAATGTGGGGGAGAGCGAGAGCGTGTCGCAGACGGCGACCGAGGAAGCCACCCCGGCTCCACAGCAAGCTTAACAAGCAACACCCTCTCGACAGAGCATGGGCAACCAGCTCGACCAGACATTCTTCGACGCGGTGGTGTGGTCGTGGTGCAATTGCGAGACCGTGCGGGGGCACCTTGGTCTTCGATCTTCCGATGTAAGTCGCGGGGTTCCTCCAAGAAACCCGCTTGCAGCTGGATGGCCTTTCGCGGGATGCCTATGACGTATGACCTGCGCATCCCGTTCATGTCCCATTGACCCAGCTGTGCGATGATGTCCAGGTCACAGTTCTTGTCGGCGAGGATCTGTGCCGCAGACCGTCGAAAGATGTGTGTGACTTTCGACAGGATCCACACCGCGCTATCCATCGCCCAGGTCACCCATTTGTTGTGCGTCGGGTACCGCAACTCGCTCTTCTCTTTGTCGAAGAGGGCGAAGAACAGGTGCTTCTTCGACCAGGCTTCTGGGTTGGAAAAATCCAAGGGGGGCACGATTTTGGCGTTGTTGTAGTAGAGCGGGACGAGGTCGAAAAGGAAGTGTAACCACAGGAAAACCGCTCCGAAGCCGCACTACTGGAAGTCCATGTGTCGAGTCAGGTACTGGTGGCCGAGCTTGTTGTCTTTGATGGTCTTCGAATTGCGACAGGCGACCACGAGAACGAGGATCGACGATTACCCCGGGCTGTTCGTGATGGGCAGAAGGACGTGAGTGAACATGTTGCAGTAGCGGATCGTACGGATGCTGATCCCCCTGCCCAGCATGTGATGCGCCATCAGAATCATCACCCTCACAGCCAAGGCCTTCCACAGCGACTCACTGGGGTACGCCATCGACGACCTGAAGTACACCTTGGCCCAGTGCGGCAGGATGTCTGAAACGAGAATGCGGAACTGCTCCTCTGTGTAGACATCGTCGAGCGAGCCCCAATGTGGGTCGACGCACCTCCTGCATTGAGTGGGCAGATACAGCAATTAATAAGTTTGAAAGTGAGTGAGAAGTTGTAGCGGACGGGGTATGGAAGTGTACTTACTCGAACTGATACTCGTGCAGCTGTCGCAGCTTGACGGCTAGTAGCTACCTAGCCTCGGTGATGTCGTCCATGGGTTTTGTGAGTGGTTCGTCGAAGAGTATGGCCTCTATTTTGCACAAGCACCCCAGCGCAGTAAGGCGCGCCAGCATCATCGGTGGGGTGCATTTTTTCGGCTGCCTTTACGTCGGTTTCCGTCGACAGGTATTCGACGTACGCCCGCAAGCGCCATTTCGACGTACGAGGCCCATGCAGGTGCTCCTCGTTACGGAGCGCCGCCTCCACCCCGTCCCTAAATCCTTGCCTATCTCTCTCCTGACCTCGTCCTCGTTGATCACATGCTCCTCGACAGGCACTCCGTTGTTGTTTTCGGGCGCCAGAGTTGCACAGGCCCAAGCCGTGAAGTGCATGAATCCCGAGACATAGTTTGGCCGAGTGGTATCCTGGTCGATTCCCAGCAACGGAAGCTCACAACGGTGAATCCTACTTTTAAGTGTTCCCGTCGCCAAGTACGAATTTTCTTCGCCCTGATCGTTGCCGAGAATGTGCGTGGCATCCTCTTCTGATATATTTGCCGCGGCAGGGCGCAGAGGGTCCACCTCTTCGACATCGTCCGCCTCCTGCTGTTCGCCCGTCTCAACATCCTCATCGTCCGTCTCTTCAGGGACGTGGCTGGCTAAGTCCGCTTTGCTGGGTCTTTTCGACGAGCTAATAGTCGAGGCGGGAGTGGCTCGCTGCGCGGATGTACCGGCTGGGGGTGGTGGCCGAACCTCAGGCGGAACACCCTTCGCCCTCCTACGTCGCCCATCTGTCGAGCTTGGGTCACCAGCTAAAGGTTCCGTGCTGTCGATGATGGTGCACCCTGGTTTGGAGCTTCGTGTGTCGAGGGAGCGTTTGTTGTCGAGACCAGTTCTACCACTACAGGTATGGATTGTGCCGTCGAAGGGACTTCGGTCTGTGCACCACCCACTTCGACATTGACCGCACGGTCCGTCGAACGCTGGTCCGTCACAACCGGCTGAACCACTACCGGTATGGAGCGTGACGTCGAGGTGGGCGCTGTAGATACCGGTATGGCTCGCGACGACTAGGTGGGCGCTGTCATGACCGGTATGGCTCGTGACGTCAAAGGGGGCGCTTAAGAGACCGGTATGGCTCGTGACGTCGAAGGGGGCGGTGACGAGATGGATTCTACGTTGACAGGTAGCGGTCCTACGTCTGCCTGCCGGGAAGGCGTTGTCCTCGACGGATCGTCCTCCATCACTGCCTACCCGAAAGCTCTCATTTCCGTAGCGTTGGCCTACTATATTTAGGGTGTACTGCTGCTACTAGTTTAGGATTTGGTTTATACCGTGGTTGGGCTTATGTTCCTTCCCTTACAGATGCCCTGAAGACCTTGGCTTTTTACGTAGCCGTCAGCTGTTGACGTGGCCCTTTGATGGTTACTGACGTAACCCGTCGCCCATCCGACAGCGACAATTCACTCGACCGACGAAGTGGTCGGTCGAGCGCACCTGACGTCGCCGTCTTTTAAGACCGTCTGCCGGTTGCGAAACACGTTACCACTCACGTCGACCGTCAGCGCAACCTGTCTGGCGATGTCGATGGCGACGTCAGGCGCTGTAACCCGTCTTGTCGGGGGTGCACGGTGCTCGACGGCGATTGGCCAATGTCCGTCGAGCAGTGCTCGATAAATGTCCCCGAAACTGCAACGGTACGGCTGACATATATATGCGCGTAAGAATCCGACATTGAAACCGCGGGTTTTGGAGGGTTTTTTCGCCTGGTCAGGAGGGATTTTTGGGGTGACCCGAGGGATTCCGCGGGTTTTTCGTTTTGCCCCAAATCCCTTTGTGCCAGGGCGGGCGGGGCGGCATCTGCTGACGTCACGCGTCCCTATATATGCGGAAGATATCACTCGAATCCCTCAGGAAACCCCCCTTTGCCCCTGCGGAATTTCCCTGGAGGGATTTCCTATTTCCCGCAGTCGCCTAGCGAAGCACGCGAGGGGCGGGAGCCGACCCCCCCGCCCGCCCGAAACGAGCCCCGCCAGCTTGGAGTGACGCGAGGTGGTCCCCGCTCGAGCTGGCGTTGACCCCACGTGCTCCCCCCTCGCCCACTTTTTCTCGTCGAGGAAATCCGTCTCCGTCGACGGATTCCGTCTCGACTTGACGGAACGTGAAACATAAAACGCATGGGCTGAAACGCGCCATTGCGTAATTCCCAACAGAGCACCGTTGCCGCTGAAATAAAAACGTGTATGTAAAAATGAAAACTTAAACAGCAATAGGCAAACTTCCTGAGAAATTGGAGGCCCTGTAAAATTGGGTACTACGGAGGAGGGCACGGGGTTGTGCGAGTGATCGTAGCTTGCACTAGCGTTCTTACTATGATACAAAAATGTTATCCAACGACATGAACGGCGTGGCTCATAGACGGTTCTATATCGACAAGAATCACACACGCTAACGACTAGAATAGCGTGAGACGTTGGGGCCCCTGCGGAGAGTCATGTCAAACATATACTTGTTCTATTTGTGTAGGCTATAGTGGGTTAGCCTTCTAGGGGGTACACTACTCTAGGTTTGTGGTACTTGTACTCCCATTCTTCTGCTAGTCAATCATTCTTCTCGTTCTTACTTTCTAACATGGTATTACGAGCCTAGGTCGTAACCTAGGACCGACTTTAAGGGCCCACCGTTTTCGTTAGTTGCGCCCGAGCGCGCCTCGCCTAGTCGCGCCCTCGAGCGCCCTCTTCTTTTCTCTCCTGTCGCGCGCCCTAGCGTGCCCCTTGCGAACCGGCCCCGCCTAGCCCGCACGCCCTAGCGTGCCCCGTGCGATCGGCCCCGCCCACCTCGTACGCCCTAGCGTGCGACCCCTGCAGCACCACGCGCGTCGCCTGCCCCGCGCGCCCTTGCGTGCCCCGTGCGGCCCCGCGCGCTCGCTGCCCTGCGCGCCCTTGCGCGCCTCTTACGGACCGGCCCCGCCCCTTCTCGCGCGCCCTCGCGTGCCCCGTGCGACCGGCCCACACCCACCCGCGCGCCCTTGCGTGCCCCTCGCGTACCGGCCCCGCCCAGCTAGCCCGCCCTTGCGTGCCTCGTGCGACCAGGTCCCACCCCACTAGCCCGCCCTTGCGTGCCCCGTGCGACCAGGCCCCGCCCTCGCTAGCCCGCCATTTCGTGCCCCGTGCGGACCGGCACCGCTCTGACCTGCACGCCCTCGCGTGCCCCACCTCGAGTAGCCGCCGCCTAGCCGAGCCGAGCCGCCCCACCGAATCGCGTCGCCCGGCCCGAGCCGCGCCGCCCTACCGAGCCGCGCCGCCCTACCGAGCCGCGCCACTGCTGCCCTCACTGCTACTGACGCTACTGCTGTTCCTGCTGCTACTACTGCTACTGCTCTTACTGCAACTATGGCTAGCCCTGCTGTGCTCGCTTTCGATGCTGAGGGCCGCCCGCTGAAGTTTGACACCTGGCTAGATGACTTGCACCTGTTCCTCCAGCTCACTGCCAAGGAGGATATCTCGCTGTACGATCACGCACTAGGACTCGCTGCTGCCCCTGCTGCTACTGCTGACAGTACTGCCCGCTCACAGTGGCAGACTCGTGACGCCCACGCTCGCTTCGCTATTCGCAACTCCCTGCCGGTAGATGAGCGCGAGCACTTTGGCCAGCACAAAACTGCGCAGGCACTGTACACTGCTGTAGTTGCACGCTACTCCTCACCTGCCTCTGCTGCGCTAGGCCGTCTCTCGCTCCCCTACCTGTTCCCAGACCTGTCCGCTTTCTCCACAGTCGCTGACCTCATCACGCACCTCCGCACTAGTGAGGCCCGCTTCCGTGCCGCTATGCCCGCTGAGTTTCTTGCCACCCACCCCCCCCCCCCGCTCTGGCTCACTCTCTACCACCTTGTCACCCGTCTCCCTGACTCTCTTCGTGCGGTCAGGGACCACTTCCTCGCTCGCTGCCCCACTGAGCTCACTGTTGATCTGCTCGAGAAGGAACTGCTTG